TTTTTTTTTTTTTTTTTTTTTTTTTTTTTTTTTTTTTGGTACCAGGGATCAAACTCGGGTCCTTGCACTAAGCTAAATCCCCGGCCCTTGTAGTTCCTCCCTTTTTTGACTGGATTCTTCTCTGGTTTTGATACTAGGGTAACACTTGCTTCCAGGAATGAATTTGGAAGTATTGCTTCTCTTTCGATTTCATTAAAGAGTTTGAGAAGTAGTAGCACTAAGTCTTCTCTAAATTTCTTGTAGAATTCAGGAGTGAATTCATCATGATCTGGGCTTTTCTTTCTTGGTAGGTTTTTAATTACATCTTCAATTTCTTTGACTAATGATACTGATTTATTTAGAACTTTTATATCTTGGGGAATTTTTATATCTAAGGTATCTAGGATTCTGTTCATTTATGTCTTTTCTATCTTACTATCATATGGATTCTAAAAAAGAAAATACAGATTCTCAAAGTAGGTGTTAATGGTCTTCTGGATTTCTGCAGGATCTGTTGTGATTTCACCCTTTTTATGCCTGATTGCATGGGTTTGAGTCTTTTCTTTCCTTTTTTTGATAAGGTTGACTAAGGGTTTGTCTGTTTTATGTAATCTTTCAAAGAACCAATTCTTTGATTCACTCATTCTTTCTATTTTCTTAGTCTGTATTGTTTTAACTTCTGCTCTAGTCTTTATAATCTCCTTTGAGCTTTCGGCTTGACTTGCTCTTTTTCTAGAAGTATTAAGTTCAACATTAGGTTGTTCATTTGAGTTTGCTCTGTTTTTCTGATATGAGAATTCACCACTAGAAATTCCCTTATAGGACTGCCTTTATTGTGCCCCATAAGTTCCAGTATGTTGTATTGGTGTTATTGTTTAATTCTAGAAACTGTGGAAACAAAGGGAAAATATAAGTGGTAGTGCTCGTCTAAGAGATATATTCCATTTAAAGTACTTGGAAAAGCACAACAGAAATCTTTTCATAATGGCCAGAAAGGGATTATTACCAACTGCTTTTTTTATGACTGTGTCAAGTTTGACTCATTCATGACCTTTTCTTGAAACCATGCTTATTGCACTCCAACAATGAAAAGAATGAAGAAATAATATTGTAAACACTTGAATTTGTTGCTAGATTTATAAGTGGATGGTCTCAAGAACCCTGCCAGCCAGTGACAGACATTAATCAAATGTGTAATTTTAATTTTGTATTAAGAGTCATTCTTGGCTTTGCCTTTTTTTTTTTTTTTTCCTGGTACCAAGGATCAAACTTGGGTCCTTGCACTTTCAAGGTAGGCGGCGGAACCACTGAGCTAAATCCCTGGCCCTGGGTTTTCATTTTAAAATCTAGCTATGGATCAGAGAGGCCTCAGGCTTTAATAAACACACCTTTTATGTTTTATTTTCTGGAGTTTGTTTTCTTGAGACAGTCTCACTAGCCTTTAACTATGTAGCCCAGGATGGCCTCAAACTTGCCATGATTTCCCTGCCTCAGACTCTTGAGTCCTGAGATTATAGGACACCATACCTGTAATGCTTTTTGTTTTAAAATAATGAAGTATTTCTTAGTTTATGAAAAAGCTTAAGTGTGGTGTCTTTGGGGAAGGCTACTACATCCTGAGGGTTGAAACCAGACGCTGTGGTGCTGACTATGTCCTCTATAGATGCTCTACCACCTCACTACACCCCAGCCCCAGGATAAGGATGTCTTTGATTACTCATACCACATTTGTTTTTTAGAATAAAAAATGGCTATTTTAGTGAGCATTAGATTTTTGCATAATACTTTGAAAATTTAACTTACTCTTTATAAAAATACAGTATGCTAATTTATTATTTTTATTTTTTAGTAAAATCTTTTAATAATACTCTTTGTCCACTATGAATAGAGTTGAAGACAACTTTTTTAAAAATTCATTGTTGATTGGTACATTTTAGGTATGCAGTATGATGACATTCATCATTGAATTTGTACCTTTACATGATACATCTTGCTTCATGTTTCCCCATTCAGCTGCTCTCCCTTCAATCCCTCTACCCCTCCCTGTTTACAAAGACTTTGTTTCAGTTTTTTCCTTTTCTCATATTTATTCCTTTCCCTCTTTTCCTTTCCTCTTCCCTTTCCCCTTCTGACCTTTTCCTATTTCACATTATCTGTTAAACATTTTGATCCCTATTTACATTTTCAGTTTCTCATGCCAGAGAAACGATTTGGTATTTACACATGTGTCCTATTTATTTCACTTAAGACTATGGCCTCAGTGTGCATCCATTTAGCTATAAATGTCTCTAGTTTCTCATTCTTTATGGTTGAGTAGCACTTCATTTTATTAAAAACCACATCTTTATCCAGTCCCCAGTTGATGGACATTTTGGCTGTTTCCAAGGTTTAGCTATTACTGTGCTGCTATAAACATGAGTGTGCAGGCTGGGGATTTAGCTCAGTGGTTCCACCACCTGCCTCGCAAGCGCAAGGTCCAGAGTTCGATCCCCAGTACCAAAAAACAAACAAAACAAAACATGAGTGTGCATGTGTCTGTGGTATGATTCTTTTAAGCCTTTTGGGAAGATACCCAGCAGGGGAATCGCTGGGTCTCCATACTGATTTCCACAGTGGTTGCACTAGTCTACACGCTAACCAAAGTTGGAGAAGTGTTCCTTTTTCCTCACAGCCCCGCCAGCATTAGTTTTTAGTTGATTTATTGATAGCAGCCATTCTTTCTGGAGTGAGGTGGAATCTCAGTGTTCTTTTCATTAGCATCTCTCAAATGACCAGTGTTAATCCCCAAAGAGGCTTTTTAAATGTCCAGAGCAAACAAGAGTGTATTTACACATGCTCAGACACAGTTAAATGTTTTGTTACATCACCTCTGGCTTCTGCATACTCTTGTCAAAATTGCTTATTTTTTTCCCTTGAGGAAACAACTTTCAAGTAGTTCCTCTTAGTTCGTGAAGACCTTCCTCTTTTTTGTGTTGTCAGTGTTCTCTTCCTAACTTCTTCACTTGACCTTTGTGGAGAATTAGGGCTGTAATCTCTTCCTATTTCAAGTGATGTTGAGAACTGCAAAAAGTTATTTAATTGTGTGCAGCAATCTGTAAGATACAGGTTTTTTTGTTGTTGTTGTTTTGTTTTTCTTATACCGGGAATTGAACTCAGAACCTTGAACTTGCCAGGCAGGTACAGTGCCACTGAGCTAAATTCCCAGCTGCGTAAGACATTTTTTAATATAACCAAGTTTTTTGGGGGGGGGCGGTGGATTGAACTCCAGTCCTTGCACTTGCAAGGCAGGTGGTGGTATAACCAAGTTTTTGATGTACAAGAATATATAGTAAACTTTTGTTAGTCTTCTGGAACATATTTTAATCCTGGTGATTTTAGGATTGAATGATGAGAAAAATAACAGTAGAAATATAAAATAGTAGAAAGTCTTTTATACACAGTTGTTTCATTATTCTTTTTTATAATGTGAGGAATCCCTTCTACATCAGTCACCAGTGCCCTCTGTGCCACCAGTGTGGTCTTTCCTATCCCTGGGAGTCCCCTGGGGTACTTGCTGCAGGTAATAGCTGTTGTTAGTAGTACGTTTTACCTGGAGCCTCTTGGTTTAGTTGTGAGCTTCCAGAGGCCAGTAACTGCTTGTTTTTGCCTGTGATATTTCCTGAGGTATTCAGTGCCAGGTTAAGGCAGTCAGTACTGGAAGGAATGAGAGGAGGGGAAAAGATTCTCTTTTTGTCACTGTAACCCCTCCTCATAACTTTTTCTGCTTTTGCAAATCATGGGATTATAATGCATTAGCAATTTTGGTAGAAAATAAGCTATTTTAGATATTTATCAAAAATTGCATCATTTGTAAAAATTTCAGTGATAACAATAATCCACATTGAATTTCTGGAGAGTTGGCAAAAATAACAGTAGACTGTGTATCAATAATTAAGATCTCTGGTTTTTCAGAAATACCTATAAGAATTACCATTATGATTTCCAGGTATATATTTTGAGGAACTGAACTCTATATAATTTTTAACTTTTTTTCTTTCTAGTGTTGAAGGACTCCATGCTATTGTTGTATCAGATAGAGATGGAGTACCTGTTATTAAAGGTAAATCTTAATACTTAAATGCAAATGTCATGTTTGCTTTTGACTAAAAGCATGTGTTTCCTTAACATGTGAGCAGTGCAGAAGACAAATACTTAAATCTGGTTTCAGCAGATTTAGAAGAGGCCCTCATCTGTATTAGAATCATTTATGTATATGTGCATATATGATTCAGTCAGTTTTGCTGTTGGTTTTAGTATAATACCCTGAATCACTCACTTTGCATTGCTGAGACATAAAACCTGTTACCTGCAGCTTGAAGAGGGTGTGGTTCAGCGTATTCAGTCTGTGATATTTGTTTCATGCTTGACTGGTTCCAAGGTAGACACAGCATGGTGGAATGGTTGCTGCAGAGGACAGCTGCTCGTGTCCTGGCAGCCAGGAAGTAGAGCAAGGGAGGAGGGTGATTCACCCGTGCAGGTCTCTCCCCCAGTGACCCTTCTTCTGGCCAGGCTTCGCCGCCTGCCAGCACATTCAGCAGTAGAATCGCATGATTCATTCACCTTCCGGAAGCCCCACCTCTGTGTATGTGAATTTGGGGTCATTCTTGATCTGAAGTATAGCATACCCCCATATGTGGATCATGTTATTTTGCTTAGCATTACCTAAGTTTTGCTTCCTTATTAAAATAGGATTTTTTTAAAACTTTTAACGTCAGTTACTTTTTACTTTATAGAGTCTTAACAGTTTCTCCCCTCACCTGATCTTTAGGCTTGTTGTTGTTCTTGCTGTAGTTGTTAATAGGTGATACAGATGGGACTGTATCTCAGTGTTGAAGTGCTTGCCTAGCATGTGGGAGGTCCTGAGTTTACTGTCTAGTACTGAAAAAAAAGAATAGGTGATATCACATAGTTACTATGGAGTCAGTCAGCTTTTACTACTATGGCACTGTGATATCTTCACCAGAGATTAATGAGTGAAACATTAAAAATGTAGCAAGCTGCAGGATTGTTGATATCTGCAAGAGTGCTGCTGTAGGATTTATGAAAGCAGAAATTTTTGTAGTTTTTTCATTATTTTGTTCTAGAATGGCTCTAAGATAACCAGAATGCTGATTATTAAATGCATTGATTAATCTGTATCTTACGGTAGCCATCAAGAATACATGAAAACTGCATAGGAGGATCACTTGAGTTAGAAACCAGCCTGGGTAGCATAGGAGACCCTCTCTCCAGTAAAAATAAAAATAAAGTAAGCTCGGTATGGTGGTGCATACCTGAAATCCCAGTACTCTGGAAAGCTGAGATAGGAGGACAAGTTCAAGTCCTGCTAGCAGAATTTGAATCTAAATAAAGGGCTGGGGATGTAGTCTAGGACAAAGGTGGCCCTGGATTCAGTCCCTAGTACTGTTGGCGGTTCCAACTGCTATGAAACTCAGTGACTTTGGTACTCATTGCTTTTTGACATGAAAATTCTGTCCCAGTTGTTACTGTTTGGTCCTCCACACAAGCTAGAACTTGTCCACTGTCTCATGTCTTCTTGCCATTTTCAGCCACAGAAGTTTGTTAGGTACTTGAGGTACTTGAGTACTAAGGGATCAATATAAAAAATTAAAATAGTAAAAGTGAGGGCCAACATTTCTTTCTTTAAAAGGTACAATCACTGAATTTCTGAAAGAGCAATTTTCCCACATAAATTGATGAGAACTGATTAGTGGCTTGGTTTTCAGTATTGAACTTAACCTTTATGATCAGTTCTTCATGGTATGTGTTTTTTAAAAGGTGCTGTAAACCTCCCTCCCTGTCATCCATGGATTTCTCACTTGAGTCACTTACTTTTCCAGTGGCCAATGACAGTGCCCCAGAGCATGCTTTGAGGCCCGGCTTCTTGTCTACTTTTGCCCTGGCAACAGACCAAGGGAGCAAACTGGGACTTTCAAAAAATAAAAGCATCATCTGCTACTACAATACCTACCAGGTGAGTCCATGGTTATCAAATGGTTTGCTGATGGGAACTGTGCTTTTTGTCTTTCCTATAAAAGAGCTGTTGTTAGGATTCTCCATTTTTTTTGAAGGGAATGAAACTTTCAAGTTTTAGCTTTCAAATTGGTTATGTTAAAACTAGTAATGTTCTTTACATTTTTATACCAGGGAATAAGTACTGTGGAGGAATCACACCTTAAAAATTATATCACTGTTAACTCCAGTAGATGGTGCCATTGGCTAAACGAATGATTTCTCAGCCTATAGTTTTTGATGTGAAGGTGGAGGAAAATCACATATGTTACTTAAATTTGTCACAGTTGCTAATCCTTTCATTTGGTTTGAAGTACATGTTATTACCTGTGAGGAGTGATTCTTACATACCTCTTGATCTCCAGCTGCATTTTCTTAAGAATAAATTAATCTCTTCTGCTCTAGAGCAGTGTTACCTGCAGTGACTAGTGCACTACTGACAACAGTGACTTTTTATGTAAAAGTTATACGTGTGGAAGGGAAAAGATACCTAACCCATGTAACCTTGAATTTCACCAAAAAGAATGGTGTTGAACCTACATTTTTTAAAGGTGATTAATTTAAAGTTAATGTAAATTTACAATCACTGACATTAGTTATGAAAGTAAAAACACACTAGCTCTCCTTTGTCCATGGGGGACGAAGCCCAGGGCCCAGGGTGCCTGAAACTACAGAGAATAGCAAGGTTCGTGCACAAAGACTGAGGATAGGGTTGATGTATGAATTAGGCACAGTAAGAAATAAATAATGGGCATGCCTGTAATCCCAGCACTCGGGACGCTGAGACAGGAGGATCTCTGTGAGTTCGAGACCAGCCTGGGTTACATAGTGAGTTTCAGGTCAGTCTCAACTACATAGTTGAGACCCTGTCTCAAAAAACAACAACAACAAAAAATAAGGGCCACTTAATTAAACCTAACCAACCGCAATATACTGTGACCGTCTGATAACAAGGTGGCTACTAGGTGACCGATGCGGGTGGCAGCTGGTACAGCGTGGGCTGCCTGGACAGAGGGGTGACCCTGTCCGGACTGGAAGAGCACAGTGTGGCACTGTGGCACTCTGATCATGAATAGCGAGCACTTCAAAACTGAGGAATTATTTCTGAAATTTGCTTTTTATGGAATTTTCTATGTAATATTTTTAGACTATGATTGAGCTTGGGTAACCGCATCCTTGGAAAGTAGAACCACAGATAGAGGCAAGGACATTGTGGTACTTGAATGACTTAGACATTACTGCTGTTCTCTATTGAATTGCCGACTATTTATTGAAACTCTAACCTCTACTATTAAGTGACACATGGGCTTTAGAAATAAAAAGATGAAGACATGGTTCCATTTTGGGAACATCCATGCTAAGTGGTATCAGTGCTTCTAAGGTTTGTCTTATTTTATGGAACGGTTTACTCCCACCTGTTCCATATTTCATGATGTAGAACCATGGTATTAGGCTAATAACATTGACTTTTAAAACTTTTGAAAGTTTAAATAATTTCAGTTAAGTTATACATGTTTTCACAATGTATCATAGTATTTAGATCCTATTTTCTTTGCAGGTGGTTCAGTTCAATCGTTTACCTTTGGTGGTGAGTTTCATAGCCAGCAGCAGTGCCAATACAGGTGTGTTTTAATTGCAGCTTTTATCTGTGCAGTATAGAAATTTAGATTTGGTGATCTGTTAGGTCTCTGCCATTTCTGAACATTTTGAAGCTATCAAATACTATGTAAAAACACTTTGCTCTGTGGGATAGTTATGATACCAGTATTTTAAGTGTACAATACCTCAATTTTGATATCACCAGTCTTCACATTAAATCATCAGTTACTATATATTGTGTGCTAGTGTACAGAATTGTATTTTAATATTTTTCCTGGAGAATCTTGATGCTTTTAATAGTCTGTAAGACAGAGGAAGATGTTTGTATTAAAAGAAAATAAGCACCAAGGCACGTAAACCCTTCCCTGTGGTAAACTCAAAAGCAAGATGTGCTAATTTCTTGATGAATTTTTCTCTTAAGATTTGTTATTTAACTTTATGAACATGTAAATGTGTCTTATATTCTGTTATTCATCTTTAAAGTATTTTTTTTGCCTCTGAAATACCTAAGCATGCCTTGGCTTTATTGAATTTATAAAATAAATTTGCTCAATATTAAAGCAGCCTGTTTGCATTTTGATACAATATGCAAATTTGCTCTGGAAGAAAACTACAGCTTTTTTAGTGAAAATCATGTGTATGATTTGGAGTCAATGCATATTTTAAAACAAAGTGTAAATTAAGGGCTTTTTTTCCCCTTTTAAATGTCTATAGCAAATTATGCTGCATATAATTTACTATATTATACAGATTTTTTTATCCATCTACTTTAATAATAGATGATGAAAATGCCCACTACTTAAAAACACTTTGCTATATGGGATAGTATGTCAATATTTTGAGTGTACTAAAACTCAATTTTGGTATCACAATAATGCAAATAGGACTTTTTGTTATTTTACTCAGAATTACAGTATTTGGTTTTCTGGAGAATAACTGCCTGGTTTACTCTTTAGTAACGAAATTTTGTACAAAAGCAAATTTTGGTTTTTTGAGGCAGGGTCTCTCTATGTAGTTGAGACTGACCTAGAACTCTCTATGTAGCCCAGGCTGGTCTCGAACTCACAGCGATCCTTCTGCCTCGGCCTCCCCAGTGCTGGCATTAACAGGTGTGTGCCACCATGCCCGGCACAAAAGCAAATTTAAGTTTATGACCCTTAGGAACATTTTTCTAACAATTTTTATCTTTTTAATCTCTGTTTTAGGACTGATTGTCAGCCTAGAAAAGGAACTTGCTCCATTATTTGAAGAACTGATAAAAGTTGTGGAAGTTTCTTAACTAACTGTGGTTTCAATGTGCACCTTGTTCTCATTATAACAACACAGTATCAATCCAGAAGTCTTTAGACCACAGTAGTCATTTTATCCAATTATTCAGGAAAGGGCCCTCTTTTCCATCTCCTACTAAAGAAAGAACCTAAAGATGGATGGTTGCATTTTCTTGTGTAAGCTCTTTTCTTGTTTAGTGAGATCTGGGGTAACCACGGAAGTGGTTCAGTCTACACAGCTCCCATGGAGTTAGTCCAGCCTCCAGGTTAGGATGAGAATCTACTCATGGATCAGAATCACAGTGGCACCTGATCCGCTTGCTCCCAGGCCTTTGCATGGTGAGGAGTAATGAGAACATATTTTTCTTCTTATGCTTTATTTCTTTGGATTGAGTGTGAGGAAGATAAAATGGCTTCGTAAAGTTAATAAAATCAGTACAATCGCTAACTTTCCTTTGTATATATTATTTTGCAGTATGGGTGAATATTACTAATTAATTTGGTTCTCAGAGAATGCTGCTGTTTAATAAAAGGAAAATCATACTTTATGGTTTTCTTCCTATTCTGCTTTCTATAACCAATCAGTGTTTTAATGTTTATGTGTTCTTTATAAAATTTAAATATGATATGTTGCTAAATTTTGTTTCCAATATAAGGACATATGTAAACATGATAGTATAGCCATTTTTTCATACATGAGTATGAATAAAATAATTTTTTAAAAGTATAGTTTGAGCCCTATATGTCTTTTTTCCCTCACATTTCTTCCAAAAGTTTATAAAGAACATAACTTAATTATTCTTTCAACCATATGAGTAGTGAATGTTTCTTGTGGGTATTGGTTTGGGCTGGAGGTTGTCTTCACCTGTTGTTAACTGTTAGGTAGAAAATGAACCCATCTCTGAGCCTAATAGTCCCCATGACAGAAATATCAGGTCTCCAACATGCCCTTGTAGCTTCAGGTTGCTGCCCATCACTCAAGTTGTTCATTTCCTTGTGAGTTACTTGACAGTTTGTCACTCACGAAAGTCAGTTCATAGGCACTGAGCCCCTTTCTCTGTCAGTCACCAGGGCCATCACAGCGCAGGGCTAAGAAGTACCACCCAGGTAAAGAAAGTGCTGGATAAAGGTGTGCAGGAAGGTTCTGTGGGATCACAGAGTAGAGGTGCTTAACATGGGCGAGAACAAAGCCTGCACACAGAAAGCAGCAAGAATTTTATCTGCAGAGCACTATACGCTGTTAGAACCTAATAATGCAATATGGATCCATTAAAATACAAATTCTTGTTATCTAAATCATTAATGTCCATGAAATTTTTTCCAGTGAAATCATATGTGAAACAAGGTCTCTTAGAAATGAAGTGGCCCTATTTTTATTTGCAGGTAGTAAGTCTGTAGAAATTCCAGGAAATATAATAACTGGAGCTACATAATCTTCATTTTCAGTATTTGTACTATTTCATTCTGAAGGGTAGAATGGATAATTCTACAGTCCATCTGGAAATACTAGCACATGATAATTGCTGAAAACTGTAGAAGGTAGTATAAAACTACATGTACAAACTGACTTAAAAGATTCTAAAGATGAAGACTTAAAATTGCACACACACGTGAATGAGATAAAACATAAAGATGGCACTGTAAGTTAATGGAGAAGGACTATCCAGTAAGTGGGATAGGCTTTATTTTGCACTCAGCTAGTGGTAGTATAATTTATTGTAATAAGTTGTTACACCTCATAATAATTCTGTCTTTCTCGCTTTCTGATGCACATAACCTTTGGTCCAGCAGTTCTAGCATTTTTGTTTTTTGAAGTTAGAGTTTTTATTGGGAATAATAAGAATAGCTCCTGTTTTTCCAAGAGGGGTTTGGATTGGGTGGCCACCTGGCCCCTCAATCCAGAGCTAATTACAGACAAGCAGAGCACAGGAATTACTCAGCTGTTTATTGGCTATGAGGTTATTCTGTGGCTTCAAAATGACCAATTGGAATTCAGGCTCTCTAACCCAGTTCCTTGGCATGTAAGGTTTAAAGGAAATGGATTTTATAGAAAAGCTAGTTATTTTGTATGTGAAGTTCCCAGGAACTCAGGAGTTTAGTAAGGAGTAGCTGTATTCCATGTTGTCTGAGTTTATCCTTGGTTCAAAATCCCGGTTCACTGTCCTTATTTTAATTTTTGTCAACGTTGTTAACCCAACACTTGCAGGTCTCTCCCTAGCTAGGTGCCTTATTCATAAGCTAACTAAACTATTTACACTTCCTACCTCTGAAAAAGTAACCCTTACTGCTCTTGGGGAGAAAGGGTAAAGACCAAATCTAGCTGCTTCTAGATCAGAAGGATTGGTGTAGGGAAACAGGAGTCAATGGCTTTTTCCAGAGACTTAATGTAAGGGGTCTGGGCTAGAAGTCATGTTGGGATTTAGCAGTTATGTGTGGACTCTCTTCAGAGGTTCATTCTAGTGGATCTCAATAAAGGGATTTCTAGCCGGGGTCCGAGTGGGTGACCCTGTCAGGTTGATAGCCCAGCCGGTTACTGGGGGATGCCTACTCAGCTGATTCAGGGTACAGTAGGGGATAGAAGAATAGTATATAAAGAACTAAATTAATAGTCTTTTACTTGGGGGACCAGGAATTGATCTTTAGCTAATGTTTGATTTTGGAGAATGGCTGTACAGAGAAAATTCCCCAGCTGCAGTGTTTCCTTGCTATTGGAGACATCACAGCCTCTTCGATCATTGAGACCTCAATTGTGAGCATTAGCAGTTCACACTTAGGCCTTGGGGTGACTCATAATTTTAATCAGCTGAATTACAAGCCATATCAATAATATCTAAAGCCTGCTCAGTGCGGTTTTAAGCTGGTCTGCATGACCCCAGTTCTAAAAATTTATCCTACAAGTGAAATATGCAAAATTTATATATTATGCAAGCATAGTCTTTGAAAATTGGAGCCATCAGAAGATTGGGAACATGTCCACCCTCGGTAGGCTGAAGGTATTCTCTGGTTTTTCAAACTGTACCAGTTATTCCTGCTGTTTCTGGAATAATTGTTAATAACGCTGCTTTCACTCTCACATCTACCTCTAGGAGGAGGTTTGGTTAAACAAATGACTCCATCTGCCCAAGTGAAAAGGGAAGTGCTTCAGGTTCTGAAATGAAATGATCTCCAAAGTGTAATGTTCACTGAAAGAAAGCATGGTTTGACACTGTTCCCATTTTTAAGAAGAAAAAGTAATGTTTTTATTCTGTACCCAGACCCTAAAACAGGAGGAACTGGTAACAGGTCAAAGGCTTCCCGCAGTGAACCCTTTCACTACCAACTCTACTTTCTGATTCTTCAGGAACCAATAACTTTAAAAATAAGCGAGCCCAAGTACTTCACAAAACAAAGGGATGAGGTGGTTGGAAAGAAGGTTGTGACAGGGTTCTTTAAAGATGTAGAACAGCAGGATAAATATTTCAACAAACTGGTTTGTGCGATCATGGGAACTGGCTGGTCCAAACTTTGTAGACCATTTCAGAGGCCTGCATACTCAAGCTCAGACTGTCGTTTTGAGGTAATATTCCTTCTTGGAAACTCAGCTTTGCTCTTAATGACCTTTCAGCTAATTATGGAGGATAATCTTTCACTTCGGGTTAGGGCCAGGGAAGTACTTCATAGCCACACTTGGCTTCATGTTTGAATTACTGGGTACTGTGTTCTAGCCAAGCGGAAAAAAACTAACCACCACACTCCAGCATCTGTATGCATTCCTTAAAGTGTACTTTAATCTCAAGTAAAAGTAACTGTCCTGCTTCCTCCATGGACAACAGTCCTACGTACAACCAAGGACCTTCCTCAGCACACTTCCACGGAAGCCGCAACCCCTTGTCCGAAGGAGACTGGGAACCCCCCGGGTGGTGCCTCCATTTCTCCTTGCTCTCCTGTGACTTAGACACTGTACTGTTCTGTTAATTAAAAGGGGTATGTTCCGTATATCTGTGTATATATGTCCGTATTTGCAGATACGTGTGTATACAGACGTCCCTGAGACCCACAGTCCTTGCCCTGCCAGTCCAGCATTGACTGCTAACCTGCCCCGTGTTCCTGTTGTTCTTGGCAGCACACTGGCTGTGGCTCTGCCCGGTGCAGTAATTCACAGCTTCATTCCTGAGGAATCTGACCCATTAGTTACCCTTCCTGAGTTGGGCTCTGTAGTTTCTGTTAACTTCAGTCATGGGAACTGCCCGATGCCCTGTCGTCCACACACACTTCTCTTGGCACTGTGCCACAGCAGCCCAACTTCCCTGGTAATCAGGACCTATCAGCCCAGCCAGTTCAGTAACCCCTGATGTGATGATTCCAAAATACAGAGCCTAATCCGTCAGGGTGGCAGTCTTAATGCTGCGCTTAGTAGTAGAGGCATCTATTGAAGAATGTGGTGAGGCCAATGGATTTCTTTTTTTCTTTTGATTTTTGTTTTGTAGTGTAGGCTGGCCTTCAACTTACTCTGATCCCGCCTCCACTTCCCAAGTGCTGGGATTATAGGTATGCGCCTCTAGGCTTTGTCTTTTGTAAAGATATTTTATTAGCATACATTTGCAACATAAAGCATTCATTGTAGGGAGTTAGTACATATACTTACCACATCTTAATCATTTTTACTTCCCATACCTATCTTTTCCTCCATCCCTCCATCCCCTTCCCACCGGCAGCGAGTTCCAGGCCAGCCTAAACCACATAGTGAAACCCTAGCCTGGTCCTAGGGAAGCAGGGACACAGCGCGTGGGAGCTACAGATTCCGAGAGCTCTGTCCTGTGAGCAAGGCCCCATCCTAGCCCTCACACCTGCCACACTGTCCTCCTCTCACTGCTGTCCTGAGTGTCCGCCGTCTCTGTCCCTGCGGGGCCATTGTCATTGCTGTTCATGATAGTAATCAGTTGCATATCTCCCAAGTCACAAATTCTAAAGTATGTTTTAATAAAAAATAATACACGGCAAAGTCATGTTCTTTTTAATAAAACCAAAGACTATAAATTAACACGTTTTACAAAAAGCTCAAACAATATTATGTATTCAGAGAAACACCCTTGTTTCAAAGAAAACAAAACCAAACCGCACACCTCAGCGAGGGCGCGGTGGTGACTTCTGACTCTGCAAGCCTGATGCAGTGCATTTTCCCTTGAGATTGTGCTTACCTGGAGCAAGACAGACAGCACAGTTCATTAAGTGCACTGCAATCTCTGCTCAGGTGTCTACCCAAGAGGAACACATGTAACCAGATACCCCTCTGGACCACAGAGCAATGCTACAGCTTTGCACTGAAGCTTATTTTTCTGGGTCTCCATTTATTTTTGTTGCCTTTCAAGCATCTGTATCAACAAGCAGTATCAACAAAGATAACAGAAGAAGCTAGAACCCGTTGATGTCCTCAATACCTGTATCTCATTACCATTTCATTACTGTTATTTCAGTGTGGAACCGCACTGTGACACTTCGTTTTATAGGACATGAGGATTTAGTGTTACTCCCTCAAGTGGCAGAACAAGCTGTTCTTTAATAATGTGCAGGGTGCTTAGAGGGTGAACCCTGCGCAGCTCATTCTGCGCGCGGGATTGTTACAACACACTCTTAAGAGAAGTTTCCTTCAGTCCACTTGGAGAAATGTTGGGTAAGGGTAGCTTAGTGCTTACAGATGCCCTATGATTATTACAGCTGCAACAGTAATAGTTGTAGGTATTGTAATTAATAACTACAAGTTATGATTTATCACCCTTCCTCGAGTTATGTTTTCTCTTTCAGACATTTCCCCCCAAATGGTTACATGAGATGTTTTAAAGATTGCACCTTCATTTCCCTTTGTCTTGCCCAAGGGCCCCTGGGACATTCAGAGATAGCTTTATTAGAAGTGCAGGACAAACTCAATTTCTAAGACTTTCAAAAAGAGAAAATAATTATGGAAAACATTCTCCCATTTTAGTTTTAGAAACTCTTTGACTTTTGTATAAAGAAAAAGCAAAGCGACGACCCCTCCAAGAGTGCAATGCTTGTAACTGGGTTTGCACTGTAAGGAGCATCTGTTCTGAGTCTTCCAGATCCTTTGTCTGTGGTCACAGCACAGCCAGAGGCCAGGGTCCTGACCAAGAGACTCAGAGAGAGCCAGGCAACAATGTCCATGGTCTGGGATGCCATGCGGGGAACAAACACCCATCTTTTCCTCGCCTGTCCTGTGCCCACAGGCCCGGGCCGGGGCTGCTTCACGACAACAGTGGCACCATGAAAGGAAGCAGGGTTCTGTGGGTCAGTAGCCACATGATATGGGCTCCAGTCCATAGTTGTCCTTGATTTGTTTCTGAGGAAAAATCTTTGGCTTTTGCCTAAGCCTGTCAGGGATCAGTGTTGGGCGGCACCCCACCTTCCTCCTCAGCTGGGGTGCTCCTTGGCAGAAAGACCTATTAAAAGACGAATGATGGAGATCGGATGGTACCTTCCCCTTGGTTGAGCTGTTTCCTTATTTGTGACTGTAATAAAACACATGGGCATCTATTACTGAGTGATTTTAGAAGAATGAACTGAAACAATAAGACATGCTGATTAGTAAGGAAGCCATGCAAATGTAAGTTAATTATCACCTGTCCCCCAGTTTTAATCCAATTTTCTGTATTTTTCTCAGGAGACCTTATAAAGTTGCTAAAACATGTACAATGGGGGAATTGATCTAATACAGTAAAACATTAAATTTAATAGCCTGCAATATATCAAAAGGTAGATACAGATACTGATATGGAAAACTGTAACATTATTAAGTGAAATAAGCAGGTAAAGAACTCATGAGAATGAAGGAGTTTTGTTTCTTGGGTTTTTTTCCAGCCAACTTTTTATTAGTACATGTTTGCAATCATCGTGGGGAGCTGGCACAGACACACCGTCACGTCTTTGTCCTTTCTACTTCCCCTCCCCACCTCCCCTCTTCTCCCTCCATTGCTAGGGCCCCTTCCCATGTGGCCAAAGGTAGATGTAGTCCTCATTTGTACTTAACTCGACAGGTGTATTCACTGCGCTGATCTTTTATCATTTCTTGCCTTCTATGAAATTCAGAATTGTATTGCTTTTGTTTATCCAGGGCCTTGAGATGGATAATTAGGTGATTTATTTGGAATTGTCCATTTCTGTCAATGTGTACATCCATAACTATAAACTTCCCTCTTAGCAAAGCTTTCACTGTGTCCCACAGGTTTGGCATGTCGTGCTTCCACTGTCTTTTGATTCTAGGAACTTTTTTATTCCCTGATTCCTTCCCTGATCCACCGGTTATTTAATAATCTTGTTGAATATCCATGTGTTTGTGTCATTTCTGTGGTTTATTTTGCTCTTGTTTTCTACTTCATTCCACTCTGATGTAATCCAGTAGCATGCAGGAGATTATTTCAGTTATTTTATATTTATTTTAGCATGGCTTATGGCCCAAGACAAAGTCTATTTTGAAAAAAGTTTGTGTGGCTGAGAAAAATGTGTATGCTGTTATTGTTGGATGAAACCCTTCTGTAGATATTTGTTCAGTGGTGTGGCTTAAGTCCAATATTTGTTAATTGTTTGTTGGAGTGACCTAATTGAGAATGGAATGTTGATGTCCCCTGCTATGATTATATTAATATCTACCTGACCTTTTACGTCCAGAAAGTTTTGTTTTATGAAGTTTGGTGTGCCGACATTCTGTACCTGGTTATTTAGGATTGTTATCTCTTCCTGTTGAACGCGCTCCCTTTTGTAGTCTGTAGTGGCCAACTTTGTCTCTTCTGACAACTTTTGCGTTGAAAGTTGCTGTGCCTGAGACTAAGAAAGCTACTCCTGCTTGCTTTCAGGTTCTAGTTGCATGGAGTATCATTCCCCATCCTTCTTTTAGTCGATGAACTTCCTTTTCCATGAGATGTGTCTCCTGTGGGCAGTATGTGGTTGCATTTTATTTTTAATTCCAGTCTGACAGTCTGTGTCTTTTGACTGGGGAGTTAAGACTATTAACATTGAGAGTTATGATTATGAGGTGTTTATGGAATCCTCTTGTTGCATTATTTTTCCAGTGCTGATTTATTTTTCTTTTCCTTTTAACTATTCTTTTAGTTAGATGTATACTTTCCTTTGGGCTCTTTGGTGCTGGTGGCCTCCCTGTTTCTGTCTAGGATTTCCTTGAGTATTTTCTGTAGTGCTGGTTTAGTGGTCATGCATTTCTTTAGGATTCCTTTGTTATGGAAAGCCTTTACTATTCTGTGAATTCTGAAGGCAGATTCTGTAGGATCCAGAAATCTTGGCTGACAATTGTTTTTAGGGCTTTCAAAACTTTGCTTCAATTTCTCCTGGCCTTTAAGGTTTGTGCTGAGAAATCCGCTGTAATTCTAATAAGCTCATCTTTATGAGTAACTTGCTGCTTCTCTAATAGTTTTTAATATTCTCTCCTGTCAAATTTCTGGAATTTTGAGTATGGTGTGTTGTGGAAAGGTTCTTTTATGGTCATGGCTGTTTAGGGTTCTGTATGCTGTTGTACTTGAATATTGAATAGTTTCCCTAGATTTGTAAAGTTTTCTGCTATTATTTCAGTGAATAAATTATTTTGTACCTTTTGAGTCATCTTTTAATTTTTCCTTTAATTCTCATGTTAGGGTTTTTTTTTTTTTTGAGTCATTTAACAGCTGTTGGATCCAGCTTTTTAAGGCATGACTGAGTTTATGATCTACTGTATCCACTCTGTCTTTAGTTTCTGACATTCTGTCTCATATTGGCCAAATCTGCTAGTCATGCTTTCTATTGAATTTTTCATATCTTGTTTTTTTTTTTGCTCTTCATAATTAATTTTTTTTTGTACCAGGGATTGAACTTGGGACCCTGAGCTTGCAAGGCAGGCAGGTCTCCATAATTTCTAATTCTCTACCAAATGGTCATCTGTATTTTGTTTTGTTTTGTTGAACTAATTTAGTTTGTTTCTTCTTTAAGCCTGCCTCACAAGTGCAAAGTCCTGAGTTTGATCCATACCAAAAAAAAAAAAGAGAGAGATTCTGAGGTTTCTTTCTTTCTTTTGGGAGGATTGCATGCTGCAGATTGAACCCAAGACCTACCACCACTGAGCTACATCCCCAGGCCTGAGAGTCTCCATTTTGAGGAAATATCTCCATATCAGTAACTTAAAAAAGTAACTAGGAAAAAGATGTTTTGGTTTTGAAAACATCAAGGGTTTTATGGTGCCAAGTCATGTTTGGATGAGTCTGGCTGTTCCCCCAGGGTCCACACATGAAGCCTGCCCCCCAGATGGGGGTACTGGCAGGTGATTTCAGAGTTGGCTTCACTAGAGGCTCTTTGGTGATGGGATGCTGACCTGGGAAGATGCTGGTCTCCCAGAGTACACACTCAGGAAAGCACGTAGTTGAAATCCTGAGCCTGGCTACCTGACTTGGTTGGAAATGTGATTTTTTTTTTCCCCCTGTCTCAAGCATCCTTTTCCCACTACGAGGTCTTCACCAGAGCCAAGCTAATGTCGTTGCTATGCTTTGAACCTCCAATCACAGGAGCTAGATAAACTTCCTTTCTTCATGAACAGCCTGCCTCATTTGTTACAGCAACAGAAATTGACTAATACATGGTATTTATAGATCTTTAGTTAGCATTAGGGATAAATTCTTGGCTAGCAACCTGCTAACTTTCAAACACATCCAAAAAATGTATGAGATGGTAAAGGAGATGCCAACACTCTGCCTTCCCCCGGGAGGTTTACAGAAAGCAGAGCAAATCAACCACCACTGTCCCTGAGCCACATGAAACTAAGCTAAGTTCTCTAGCAAGTGCCCCTGACAACTTAAAGGCATCCAACCCAAGGAATCCATCCATTTTCCTCTGTGACATGTTCTGGCCCCAGTGCCCCCTCCACACAGACCTGGACCAACCCGTACATCTTAAAGGAAAACTGGCAGGTGCTGGGGCCCGAGGATGGGGTCTGAACACCCTGCTTCCCTGTCTGTATATGATGCTAGCTTCAACTGTCTCGTGTTCCAAAAGAACAGACCATTCCCCAGCCCTGCTACTGGCAGCCCATGATTCTTAAGAGTTGTTCTAACTCCACAGAGCTATGTCTGAGATTATCAGCAGGTTATTTCTCAGGACCAGACATCTGAAGACTTATGACTCACCAGCTTCCAACGCAGTATCTTGATCCATTCATCAGCTTCTACTCCTGTCTTCGCACAGAGATAAAACGTCCTGAATGGAAATACTAAGCTGAGAAGACAAGAGAAGGAATGTGAGGTACTCCAGATGAATGCAACACTAATTAGAGTGTCCCAAGGGGAAAACATTGAAAAAGCCTCCAGGTAAGTAATAACTTGAAGAACTGGTGTAGACATCAAACTGTAGCAGTGTCTGGGAAATCATAGGTTCATGTTGCTATAAGCAAGATTTATATTCTCTAATGAGACTTCAAGAAGAAAAGAACATGCACAGGACACTCCTGTCTGAGGCCCGGGTGTTTATTCAGCTGAGCTCTCAAACGATTCAGAACTCGTGCTACAGTTCAGACACTACACAAGACAGAGAAGAATGTTTGAAAGCACTCACTTGAGTTCACTTCCTTGAGGACTAGCCTGCCTTCTGTGGATGCAGGCAGTTAAAACAAGAAAAGAGACAATAAAACTCCTCAGCTACTTGGCACATTTCTGGCCACAGCTCAGCCTCTTCTAGAAGGAAAATGAATTTTCCTATTGGTATGTAAGACTTTTCTTGGTATGCAGTAACTTGTCATCTGACTTCTGATTACAGGTCAAAATTATGCGATAAGTTCAGACCCAGCTCATATCCTGAGCATTTTTCTTGTACTTATAGTTCTGAGGCCAAACACTAACATTCTTTTTTCCTTTCCTGAAAAAAAAAAAATCCCTTAACTAAAACTCTGCAGTTCAGAAGATGTTATGGTTTGTGTTTGAATGCCCCCCCACAAAGCCTCATGATTTTTCAGAGGTGGCTAAATCTAGAGTGTGACTGATTCATGGTGGGGATAGGCCCGAGGGCACTGGGATTAAGGCACGAGTGCTGCCCGCCCTAATAGGTTGCATAAGATCAAAGGGGCAGAAAGGCGCTGTTAGGGCCCTTGTTGATTTTGCTACTGTGTGGGTGCCATGAAGAATTCCTCCTCCGCAACACCTTCCACCATGTGCTACTCTGCCTTGGAGCCAGCTGATTGTGGACTGAATACTCTACAAAGGTGAGCTAAATATATCATTCCCTCTCTAACTTGCTGAGCTCCTGGGGAGACACTTCTCTGTCCATTAACACAGATAAATCTCCCTTTCTTCTTGCTAAGAGAATCCCAGGCAGGAGCAGCTAAGTAGTTTAAGCCACCTTGATTATACTGTCACTGTCCCAGCCACCCTGCTGCTGGGGACGGGCCCGTCACTCAGCTGTGGCCAATGGGACACAGGGGAGGTCCACAGGAGGTTCCAGGAAACACTGGCTGTCTTGACCAGAAGGAACTGAAACATCCCTTACACCTTCGTCATGCCCACGGCCTAACGGGTGCTAAGCTGGAGTCAGAGCAGCAGCCTGGACCTGTGCAGCCAGGAAACGGAGATGCTTCTCCCAGTCGGAAGGTTTTCACAGTGTACTGAAAATGTCTGAGCAAAGCCCTTTAGTGCCATCAGCCAGAAATTGTTGTAATGATATAAACCAGCCAAGACTGGAGTAAAAAATATTATGACTAAAATGAGGAGGGACCCGAAGAAATACAGCTATCCATGAATGGCAGAATGCCTGCCCCATGGCGCAGTGCCCCACCTCTCGGTGTGAGCAAGGTGCTGTGTCACATGCAGCTGAAGCACCACTAGCACGCTGGCCCTGTGAGGCAGTTAACCCCACATCCCTGAGATCCACGCAAGGAGGGACACTAAGACACACAGCTTTAGCCTGAGCCAAAAAAATATATGGGGAGATTTTAAAAACATTTCTTTCACAAAATCAACTTACCAAAAACAGTTTACCCTCTCCTGCGAATAGTCAAATTGGACAGCAGAACATTCTCTTAGGTCTAGGGTCCGAATTGGTTCTGGTGACTGAAAGAGGAAAACAGCAATTATGTCATCCTGAAAGTAAACACACACGTCTATCTGTCACCCGTGCCCTGACAAGTCTTCCCCTGTGTGAAACTGTCACTCTTCCCGTCACTCAGAGGACCGGGACCGCAAAATCTTAGTAAGGGAAGTTACCCACTGGGCTTTCAGGACTCTAAAAACTGGGACATCACACTCACAATTCACAGTAGACAGAGGTGGACCTAACACAGGGGAGGGCATTCTCTTCTCTATTCAAACTTCTATTTTCTCAGATTTTGTGTAAGGGGAGTGAGAAGAAATAAAATACTTTAAGTTGTCATAATAAAATGGGCTAGGAAGTAGATATGTATTTTAAGAAAGGGGCAAATATCTGCAGAGAGATAGTTAATAAAGTGTAGTAAAAGAAGGTTCACTGCTCTAAGCAGAAGGAATGAGGTAGCTTCGAGGGGTACAGTTTAGTCAGCCCAAGAGGCAGCTTCAGGGGTTCACATCTCATCTTAGCAAAGAGGGTCTGCTTATATGAGGAATTAGGAACTCCCATGGCCAGTAATATATTGTTCCAGGTAGACAGAGTACAATCCGATTTTGAAGGCAGAAGTTCCATAGTGGCTTGTATGTCCATCAACCAATGAATAGATAAAGAAAATGTGGCATGTAAAGACGACGGAGTACTATTCAGCAAAAAGGAAGGACAGACTTGAGTCATTTGTAGGAAAACAGATGCTCCCTGAGACCACAATGTTAAGTGAAATAAATCAGATATAGAAGGTTAAATATTGCATGGCTTGTCTTATATGAGAAATCCAAAGTACTAATAAAGAGCAAAATAAATTATAGGTAATAGGAAATAGGGAGATAGTTCTTTTGCACATGGGAAGGAGACCAAGAGATGGAGGGAAGGGAACAAAGGAAGAGAAGGAAAAGTAAAAAGAATTGAGATGCACTCCCACAAAGAATGTAACCACTATATACTCCAAACACAGGATAACCATTTCTTTTTAATTTACAAAAGCAGACGTTCCTTTCATCCAGAGAGCTGATTTTTAAAGTGCAAATGTATGATCACATTCCTCACCATCTGGTCTTTGAAGTATTTCAGTTCATTTCTGTGCAAAGTGAACCATCTTGTTTTCCAGGTCTGAGAAAAAAATTAAAACACGTTCTGAATACAAGAACATAATACTGAACTTGACAATTTACTTTTGTTTTAAAAGTACCTAAAAGATTAGACAAAATAAGTCAGAAAATACTCTTTTTCAAATTTCAAGATATCGGGCCAGGGATTAAAATGATTCTATACATTCACTTTATAATGGTGGCAGAAACACCATTAATTAGCTCACTTAAAAAAATTAAAAGATACAGCCCAACATAAACATTCAAGATGATTTAAAACAAATTATTGTAATTTCTATTTTGTTGGCTTTATAATAAAAATAGCTATCACTTCTTTTTTTCCCCCATTGAGTTTACTGGTACATTTTAGGTATACAGTACAGTTACTTTCATTATTGGGACCTTGTACGTCTACATGACAGGTCTTGGTTCTCATTTTTTAAATAGCTATCACTTCTGAGCACCTAATGGGATCTACATATTCTCCTTGGAAATATATATATTTTTCTTGGAAGTGCATTTATAGTTTATTTATATTTACATATATTATAGCCAGTCCTCATATAACAATACCAAATACTATTTTTGTCTTGCAAATACATCCAAGCACACTATCTTCCCACCCTTGCTGAAGACCCCACAGTGCGTGACACAAACCGTGTTGCCCATGGTGGCCTTCTCAGTACCAACAGAGCCTGACCTATCCAGTGGGCAGCATCCCCGGTTAGGAGGAGTGACAGGGCCCCCAAAGTTAAATGTGCCGTGAATGTGAGCACTCCTGTACCTGTCCCTATCCCTGTCCTTGTCCCTGTCCTGGAGTAGGAGGAACTGGAATAAGTAGGAGGACTCGAGGGCGGTGAGCACTCTAGTCCTGGCACAGCAAGCTGGGGACCCCAGGAAATGTCCATGGTCCATGGAAATGAAACAGGAGCTGTAGGGACAGCCACATGGGGCAGGGGCCACGGCTGGGCATGCTGGGTTTCAAAATCCCACAGCGTATTTTCCTCAGCATCAGAAAAACTTATCTTGTCAGCATCGGGCTGACCTGTAAACTAAACAATCCTGACCTCTTAGTCTAAAAAGCAGAGACACAGGTGTGATGGCTCACCCCTGTAATCCTAGCACTCAGGAGGCTGAGGCAGGAGGATCGCTGAGTTTGAATGTGAGCACTCCTGTACCTGTCCCTATCCCTGTCCTTGTCCCTGTCCTGGAGTAGGAGGAACTGGAATAAGTAGGAGGACTCGAGGGCGGTGAGCACTCTAGTCCTGGCACAGCAAGCTGGGGACCCCAGGAAATGTCCATGGTCCATGGAAATGAAACAGGAGCTGTAGGGACAGCCACATGGGGCAGGGGCCACGGCTGGGCATGCTGGGTTTCAAAATCCCACAGCGTATTTTCCTCAGCATCAGAAAAACTTATCTTGTCAGCATCGGGCTGACCTGTAAACTAAACAATCCTGACCTCTTAGTCTAAAAAGCAGAGACACAGGTGTGATGGCTCACCCCTGTAATCCTAGCACTCAGGAGGCTGAGGCAGGAGGATCGCTGTGAGTTCAAGACCAGACTGGGCTACATAGTGAGTTCCAGGTCAGTCTCAACTACATAGTGAGACCCTGTCTCAAAAAAAGAAAAAAAAAAAAGGCAGAAAGGACAGGACAGACAGCTCCCAAGTGGACTCATTGCCTTCAGCATCAGCCTTCCCTAATGGGTCCTAGCTTTCTTACTGCTGTAGGAAACTCTGCAGAGCTCTGCCCAAGAACTGGTCAGAAGCCTCCCAGGGTGCTGACTAATCATCACAAAATCAACTCATTCTTAAGTGGGTCAAAATGAGTTGGCAGCAATGCTTTTACCAAAAATACAGGCAACCCGAGACCGGGAGCTGCTTCTCTGGCTGTGGGGAAACGCACACTGCTTACCTTGACCAGGCCGCCCTGCTTGGTGAGGTAGCCTTCCTTGGTGCCCAGCTGCAAGAGAAAGAAGCCCATGAGCCCAGCATGGTCACAGTGTGACATCTGCCTGTCAGTTCTCATCCTCCTTTAAAAGGGACAGCAAGGTGGCCTCCTTCGTTCCAGGGTCAGCTCCATTCCTCACCTGGCACTGGAATCGCCTAAGGCCAGGAGTGCTGTCCTCAGGGTCCTCCGCTGTCCCTCTACACCGATGGCCACGATGGAAGGGCTCCCTACTGACCTCAGCGAGCAGTGTGCCGACAGCCGACCATACCAGCCCTCTAAAGTCTGTTGTGAAAGTGCTGTGTGCAATCGGCTGTGGGTGTCGCTGGACAGGTGCAATGCACATGGCACACACGTCCTGGCTAGCACATCTCAGCCTCACGTCCACACCCCTGTGTCCTGGACCCACAAGTGGAGAGTGTTTGGAAAAAGCCATTCTAGGGCCAGGGATTTAGCTCAGTGGTGCCGCTGCATGCTTTGCAAGCGTAAAGATGCAAGTTCAATCCCCAGTACCCCACCAAAAAGTATCTAAACAGCTGTTCTGAGCATGTGCAGATGTCCTCTTGTCATCGCGCCTTAACACAGTCCAGACACGAGTGACACCACCCTGACAGAGCACTGGTGTCACACATAACCTTGAGAGGGAAGGTGGCACAGGCTCGGTGCCATTGTACACAGGGGCCAGGGCATCTGAGGTTTGGTTTTGCCGAGGCCTGAGACCCGTTCCCCGCAGATACCAATGGTGCTGTGTGCTTGGAAAAATGCATTAAGGAAACAGAAAGGGTCCCTTCACCTCAGGGCTTCACAGGGCTGCACTGGGCAATATGCTCTGCATATTTTCAGAGGAATCCTCAGAAGCAGCAGCCCCTGCCCTTCCTTGCACAAACCATCGCTCAGAATGTGAATTCCACAGAACGGAGCCTGGGGGTGCACATTCACCCACACCTCATGCGGCCAAGGGGACTCGAGGGCAATGACCACTTTCTCTAACTTCACCATCACTGCACAGCACCACACACCCAGCGCCACGGACACGCAGCAGGCTGAGGCTGCGTGACGAGAGGGCCACATGCGACAAGGAACCCAAGCTGTGTATAAGATCCTAGATTTCTGGAGAGACCAAATTCCAAGTAGGATGCTTCATTCTGATATGATGTCATAATATGCCTTATATTGGTAAGAAAAAATGAATAAAAACTGGGAAATGACTCTGGTGATGTTAGGGTTCTTGTTAGGGGAGTTTCCAGAGTATTTCTTCCTGAGGTGAAGGCTCCCTGCCAGTTAAAAGAGGAACAGCCACCACCACGCAGAGAACTCAGCAGGAAGTGGCACAGACATCCACACAGAGCTCAGGGCATGAATATCAGGACCCTCCCAGGTATCCTGTCAAGAAGGTGACTAATACCACAGATAACTTAGTTTATTCTGATACTGAAGGACTTGAATGAACTGAGTAGAGTTTAAGTATCATATAACGTCAATGGCAAAATTATCACGTAGGGTTGCTGAGGTTAATGTCTATAGAGAGACAATTATTCCAGGCAATTTGTTATAGAAAAGCCATGGTAGAATTATTCACTGGGGTCAAGTTAAGGAGAGAGGCCCTTACCTTCCGACTCCTAGCCAACAATACAGACTAAGATTAGGGTTAGGGTTAGTGCATTTTGTGTGGTTCTGGTGCCTGGAAAGTTACGAGAAGAAAGAGCTGAGAACACTCATTTTATCCAGGATCTCAGGATGTAAGAAATGAAATAATTATATACAGATTAATCTTCTAAATAACATATGATCGGTAACAGAAAAGATGTTGGAAAGAGCCCAGTTTGGAAATCGCCTTTCCTGGCTGCCCGCTGCCTTCGACATGGCCAAAAGCCATCAGGAGTGGGAGGTAAAGCAGGCACCGATTTGAAAGGGGTCATCTGCATGGCCAACACCTGGGACGGTGATGGAGGCTGGCAGGCTCTGCCCACAGGAGTGGCAGCGCAGGGACGAGGTGGGAGGTGGCTGTGCTCAAGGAAACGGCCCGCAGCTGGTGTGGGCTGAGCTGGGAGCAGGGTCAGGCAGAGGACGTGAAGCGGGAGCAGTGACTGGAGCTGCTCACGTTCAGGGGGTCCGAGAGCACGTGAGAGATGGAGTGATGGGGTCATGAGCCGCACTGACATGGGAAGGGGAAACCAGAAGGAGCCCTGTGGCCCTGGATTAAGATGGGGATGTTGGTGTGAACCAGGGAGGGGTGGACAGAGCAACAGGCGGACAGATCCATAAATCCGTCGATAGATGAATGATAGCCAGGCATCACACAGGCATATATATTGGTACCTATGCAGCCCCACGGAGATCTTCCCTGACCGTTCTGACTGGGTAGGACAGTGACATCATCCCTGTAAAAATAAGCATGCAGTGCTCAGGTGCTGGTGTCTAAAGTGTCACTTTGTGGAAAAACAGCAAGGTTTCTTGGAGAAACAGATGATTCCAGAAGTGGGCACAGGAAAGCACAAGAAATCCACACAAGAAATCCACACAAGAAATCCACCAGAAAGTAAGGATGTTTGGAAACATTCAGAGCACCTAGGGCCACGGCAGCCACATCGAAAGGGCCCACCCCCTCTGCCTGGCCAAGTTTGTGAAACTTTGAAGAATCAAATTAAATAATGATAGTCATGATTATAGCCTATCAATACAAAAATAAAACAGTGGGTATGTGCTGGTGATAAAAAGCTTTTCCTTCCTGTAGATGACAACAAATACACATAATGGACTGCGAGAATCGGAGGCTTTGTTTACAACAATCATGGGAAGGACCACCATGGTGAAGAGACCGCTGTAAACACCAACAGCAGCGGACATGATTCAGGGAGGAGCAGGACCCGTGTGTGATCTCCACTAGCTTCCCCAAAACTTAATACAGAGGGCCTGAGACCCGCAGCGGAGAAAGCCGGCACCAAACACGCCGCCTGGGACAAACAGAGGCCGGGCCAGGCCTGGGGAGACAGAGGCACAGGGTCTCTCCTGTGCCGTCCCGACCACAGTGCTAGGTCCGTTCAGGGTTTGCTGCGGGATGAGCCCCAGCTGAGGGTCAGGCCGCTACAGGATGGCCTTTGACTTTAGAAGGGCGGGTCAGAGTCAGGAGAAACCAAGTCAAGCGCTTCAGAGGCAGCGCGTGGAAGTGGGCTCCGTGGCCGAAGGGCGGGCTTCCTGCTTCTCAGAAGAGAGGACCTTTCGGGACACTGGTGAAGCCCAGTTAACTCCTGACTGAGCGCGGTGCAGACACCCGGAAAGTAGGTTCGTAGGGAAACAGACCGCAGTGTCACAGTGGGAGCCGCACCCTCAGGTGGCTTGGGAAAAAACAAGTTCTTTGCGCTGTGCCTCCAATTAGTCTGTAAACTTGAAATTTTATACAATGAAAATAGAATGTAAAAACCTAATCAAGGATTTTCTAAATAAATTGATATATTACATCATGGAATATGGACGATGTTTTTAGAAAACTACATAATGACACGGATGATGTCCACCACACATTGTTAAGGAACACATCTCAAGAGCACCCCGGAGCTCGGTACAGACTTACACACTGGCCACATGGTGCGAGGCCGTGATGTATGGTATGTCTCAAACAAATACAGAGGGACAGGTAGGAAAATGAGGACTGAGTGCTTCAGAGACAAGATCGTGGAAAATGCCAACTCCTCAGGGAGGCGTCTGAGAAACTGTAATGTGAGTCAGTGGTCACAGGTGGAGGGGGAAAGATGCCACGGAGACAAAGGAAATGGTTTTAGAAGGGACGTGTCAAATACCACAAAAGGGAAGTTAAGAAAGCTCATATTTTCAGTCACACCTCCCGTGTTGGGAATACGAAATACGTGGCCGCACTAAATCTCTGCCAGGGTAACTGCTTGGTCGTTCCCATCGGACATGTTCAAAACTGAGTCCTTCCTCCTGTCCCCAATCCCCTCCTGTAGCCTGGGGCACTTGGCCAGCAGCCCATCTGTACCTGTTCCTCTTCCTTCCGTGACCACCCAGCCCAGACGCACCTTTCTCTCCTCTGAGAAGCATCCTGACACCTTCCAGCCCCTGCCTATCCCCTTCCTGCCTCCAGCCCACTTCCCCTCCCCAGCTGTCCCTGAACCCCACCCACCACCTGGAGTGAGAAAGCTCTGCTTCCAAGTTTAAAAATTAAACAAATCATGTGGGTAAAACCCTCTCAGCCACGATGAAACAGACATCATTTTTGTGCTCTAGAAGAGTCTGTGTTGTGTGAAGCAGGCACAATCGTCTTTTTAACAACTCAGCCCCAGACTCCTAAGGCCTCGGTCACATTCCCCACAGCGAGAACCACGGAAATCTTCACAGGGCAACAAACAGTAGAGAAGCCCGCGGCAGTATTTCCAGACATTCACAAGGAAACAGTTCGCTTGCTGTCACACACTTCCTCCCTCTCCTTCCTCAAATGTCCCTAAGCATAAGCGACCACGACCACACAGCGTGTGAATGTCTCAGTCACTGAGGACGCACGCACGAGTCACAGAGAGAGGAGGCTCACAAGCTCAGGGCTGGGAGATCAGAGAGCCAGGTGAGGGCACAAGAGAGAGCAGTCGGAAGCCATGTACTCTGCTGTGGAGGCGAGAAACGACCCTTGTTTCAGAAAGCAGCTGGGCACTCTCGGGATGCTAAGGCTGGAGTTGCCAGGAGCCAGGAGCTCCTGCAGTGGGTGCATACGTGAAGGGATGAGAGTGCTGGTTCACAGGGAGACCTGCAAATGAGTGTAATGAACGTTTATAGCAAAGAGCAAAAAACCAAGAGCAAACTAACAACAAGCAAAAAACCAGAAGCAGAAGAGAGAGGAGTCCACGGATTTCCTCTGCCAGGAGGCTTGGGTGGTCAATTTCTTCCCTGCCCCTGTAGGACTGGAATCCACCAGGCCAGGGAGGACCCATTTCTGTCCTGGCCCAGATGTGAGCGGGGAGCACAAAGATCCCCGAGCCCCATGCTGGATGGAGGCAGTGAGGGCCAAGCAGCTGCTGGACCCCACCTGATACCCGCAGACCCTGGGAAGCCGCACAGCCTGGCTCCTCACACAGCCCTAGTCCACCACTGCCTCGACTCCCAGGGTCTGTCTCTAGCTGTTTTCGGTGCAACAGTCTGGCGGTTGTGCTACAGAGTATTTAGCTCCTGCACTGCTGTCTACTGTCAGGGAACAGCTCTTCATGGCCTCTCGCATTTCTACGTCTCACCAGTGAGGCTCTAATGGCCAATATTACAGACCAACTTTTAAAGCATGCTTGTGTAGCAACAACGATGGAAGGAAGAAATAATGTCTCCCTCCAGACCAAAACACAGACATGCTTAGTATCCATCATAGAAGATTTGGGTCTGCCGGGCACAGTGGCATATGTGTATGATCCCAGCACTCAGGGAAGCTGAGGCAGGAGGATCTCAAGTTCAACCCAAGCCCAGGGCTTGACTTAGCAAGACCCTGTCTCAAAATAAAATATTAAAAAATGGACTGGGGTTGTAGCTCAGTGTAAAGCCTCTGGGTTCAATCTCCAGGACTGAAAAAAAAAAAATTAGGTTCCCAAATCTTGTGTTCCTCTCCTCCAACACAACCCAAAGTGAGTGGGCTCTTCAGCCCTTCCAGTGTTGTTCTCTGGGAGCCGGGACAATGCCTGGGCACCCAGTCCATTCCGAAGACTGCTCCTGCTGTGACAAGCCGTGCTCTCTATGACTGAAAGTCCTGTGGGAGGTGAGCTGACAGGCTGGCTGTAGGGTAAGGTCCCCGACTCCCCCTGATCTTGGCGGCAAGATGGTAGTGTCTCCAAGCACGGTGACAGCCGGACGCTCACTCATGCCACTCTCAAGACCTCTTCCATCCCACACCATTCTCTGAGGGGCCCGGCCCTCACCGCCTCGGTGACCTCACCTCCCACACTGCCCTGCTGGCCCCCAGGTCACCGCCCTCCTAGCTGGTCCTGAACCACAGGTGTGCACTGTCTGTGTGCAGCCCCATCCCATCGCCCTCAGGGAGTCTCTGTTCAAATGCTGTCCCCTCAGCCACCTCGAGAAGCTTGACACGCCACTCTCCAAGGGTTGATGATCCTATCACGGAAGCAGTGTGCGTGCGTCTGTGCCCAAGCTCTGTATTTTTCTGATTTACCCTGGAGATGACCTGAGTCACAGCCTCAAGCACAGTGTCCTCTCCAAGTTTTGCATCTCAAGCCAGAACTCTCATGAGTACAAACCGACTTTAACTCTCCCTGCGCTTGGGCAGACATAGCAGCTGCAGCCAGAGTGCTGGTCACTTACAGAGGGCGCGATGGGCGTGAGGTCGCTCTCTGTCCTCCCCGTCTGCATGGCCGTGTGGACCCGGACGGACTCGTAGATGGCAGGCTCCTCCACATCCCTGGGGTAGGGGTGTCTGAGCACCATCAGGGTGCCTGTGTGAAGACAGAAGGTGTGGTCAGTGCTGTGGAGAGGACAGGTGGCCGCTGCAGGCCTCACGGCACTGTGCACTTGCTCTTTTATCCCCAGAGCTTGTGGAGTGGCACCTCAGCTAGGCACTGGGACGGTGACAAGTCCTTGGCCCTCGTGCTTGGAGCTTGAGTGGACATGGTCACCTGAATGAGGGTGGTGAGACCCACAGCAGCCACACAAAAGCAGCCCAAGCACAGGACCCAGGCTGGGGACACCTGAGGATACTTTCGCCTGGAGACGACCTGGGCCTGGGCCTTGCACGGTCACTGGAAATTTCCAGTGGGCTTTGCAAATCCACGGGAAACCAAGCCCTGAAGCACCCAGGCTGGGAGGACCCACGCCCAGTGGTCCTTTGTCCAGCTGGAGAGCAAGCCGCAGCCCTGTGGGCCTCGCAGCAGTGGAACCCCCAACCTCACCCTCATACCACCACCACCCCCGGCTCCCCAGGAAATGGAAGGAGGCTTGGCTCTTCTTGAGAACTGGGTGTGGGGCCGAAGCTCCCTTCCACAGCCTCCACCTCCACCTCTGGGAAGAGCCCTTTTCCTCCGTCAGTCAATCAGAAACTAGAAACTCTGCCCACAGAAAGAGCTAGTGAGAGGGGTTTTCCTCCTCCATATGGCTTCTTGCTTTTTATTTCACAAGGATGTTTGAACCAGCAGGTCCAGCGCTGCACTAGATGTGGAGGAAAAGTAAGAATTCATCCATTTAGCTAGTCACCAAACACCCCAGGCTCTGCTGTATGCCAGGGGCCCGTGTGGGCAGGAACAGCAGCAAACATAAGGAACCTGTTCCTCCAGAATGTGCCTCCTGGGTCAGGAAACGGAACTGCATTGAGTTCAGCTATGACAAGAGTCCAGAAGAATTGAATAGGGGTGGGGGACTGAGAGGGGACCTCACAGGGGACAGTCCTGGGAGTAGGTGGCTGGGAAGGTCCTAGAAAGCACAGACACTGAGCTGGGTGACAGGGACGAGGATGGAGAAGTCCCCTTCTGTCCTTAACTACCTTGAAACCATGATGAATCTGTATGTGATGCTCTGTACAGCGTGAGTGCACAGGGCCAGGTCATGGGCTGTGAACCGGAAGCAGGCTACTGCTGGACAAAGCCGGAGAGTGTCCCTTACCTCAGCTGAGCTCCCGCACACCATGCTGTCTCTGTCACTGTGACCCCCACTTGGGGACACAGGCAGTCATACGAGGTGTCAGTTCCACAGTCAGAATGAAACAGCAGCACCCAAAACAGGAGTGGCCCTCGAGGGGCGCAGGGCCCTGCAGGCTCTGTGGCCACAGCAGCTTCTGGGTGCAACTGTGTGGCTCTTGGCATCTGAGCCCAAGGGATGTCAGCCTGGATAGAGCCCAGACACACAGGCAGAGGACAGGGCTCGACGGCCACCACCACCCAGGACCCGGGACCCTCAGCTGTCTTCATAGGCCGTTAAAGCACCGAGGAAGCAGTGTCGCTCAGAGGTGATACATGGTAGGCATTATTTCTCTTTGGGTAGGTATTATTCCCAATTCCTATGATTGCTCCACTGAGGGAATGGACTAAAATACTAAGTTACAAGAGCCACATTCTTCTGGGAACAGGGCTGGTGTCACTTTGTCGCCAGCTACAACACAGATCTGACTGGGAGGGAGAGAAGCAGAGTCCAGGCCTGGCAGCCCAGAAGTTAGGGACACTCAGACCTCAGGCCGCATCTTCAAAGTCAGTGCCCCCAGTGACCCCAATGTAGAAACCACGAAGACAATGTTTCCCAAGACCCTGGGGACAGAATGGCGGGTATTACCTGCCACATGCCCACCCCCGCATTCCTGCCCTCGGGGAAACTGCTGCAGACCTGGAGGCCCAGGACAACTCTGTGGAGGCATCGTGCAATCCTGGAGGTGCCCTCATCCTATTGGGCTTGAGCAGGCCTGCTCTCCTCCCCATGGCCTGTTGGAGGCAGCCTTGCTTGGACGTGTGGTGCTTTCCTTCCATCTTTGAAGCTCATGCCAGTGCCAGGTCCTTCTCTTGCCTCAACTGTCATCCTGGAAACCTTGTGACCACCATGGCCTCGCCTGGACTGTGTGGGACGCGTCCTCCCCAAGGCCTCTGACCCCAGCCTTCTTCCCATCTGCAAACTTAATGCCCTTGGCCACAAGACATCCATGGCCACAGGTCCAGAGAGCTGTGCTGGTTTGTTAGAGGCCCACAGCTGCAGTTTGTGGGTACAGGTGTATGGCAGGGGTCACCAGCAGGCTGCCACATGTCCCTTTCAGAGCCCCGTGAGCCCTTTCTGAGCAGGCGTGGTGCTGGCTTCGTCTTTGTTTACCTCCCTATGGCTAAGAGCCTCTGACACAAAGGTCTGATGAGGAATGAAGGAATGAATGCTACAGCAGTCAGGTCCAGCTCAGTCTCCCAGGCCATGCCCGTCCTGGCCTGGGCCACGGACAGCGGACAGGATGACTCAGGCCTGACTCCTTCAGTCTTGTCAGAAGGGGGAATCCAGATTCAATCTGAAACCTCTTCTCCAGTGTAACCGAAGTTAAGCTGGAAAAGCAGAGCCGATTGAAGGTTTGATCATTGAAGCAGTGAATCTAGACAGGAGGCCAGATTTGTTGGGTGAAGGAAACGGAAGCAACCTGTAAAGTGGTAGCATCCATGGAAAGGCATCTGATGCAATGAAGTCAGGCCTCCTTGGCCGGCCACTCCTGCTTCAGGAAGAGCCAATGTGTAGGCATCTTGGTGTGGCTGCCAGGGGACAGTGACTGTCTTGTGGGAGAGAGAGTCCTAGCCCAGGACAGAGACCATGCCCTGGTTTCTCCCTATGACCCCAACCATAGGCCACACCATGTGTGTTTCCTACCTGCTCTATGCTTCTGTGGAGAAGGCCACCAGCTCTCGTGTGCACTGCTGGAGTAGACAGTCAATTCCTGCCTTTGACTAGAACCCATTCTCAGAAATGCTCCATGGAGGGACATTGTGAGAGGTGGATGGACCACCCCAGACCTTTCAATGCACTTGTAGGCTTGGGGTTGCCATGGTTACCAAGCAGCTTTATCTTCGCTGGGTTGTTTGTTTGCCCTTAAGTGTTTGAAGGACATATTCATATCTCTGTAAACAAACAAGTCCACCTCTTCCCCTGTCCTCCACCCTCTGTGCACTTACTTTTTTGATTCAGTGAGCCAGAGTTGGTTTCTGTATCTGCAGTCAGAAGAACTATCTCTTAATGCAGCCACCAACCACACTCATTCCACCCAGCCCTACATTGGCACTTGGGCCCCACAGAGGAATTCTAGGTCAGAGGCCTTCATACAGTGAGCTCCTGGAGCTGGAGGGAGGCTTAGAGGAGGCAGGGGTGGGGGGCCGAAGAAGAGGAAGGAGGAGGATCAGTGCCCCAGCCTTGGAAATGGGGCTGCAAGTTTCAGTTCAGCTTCTGAGCAGGTTTCAGGTGGCTGCGTTTCCTGCTGCTGCCTTGAAGCCTGGTTTCACCTTTGCTCCCTGGGGGCCCAGTTGTGTAGTGAGCAGAGCCAGCCTGAGGCAGGCACCCCAAGGCTGCAGCTCAGGATGGACGGTCACTAATTCACACACTATGGTGCCAAGGACACCAGGGATACCCACCTACCTTCCAGTAGGAACCAGGGAAGAGCAAGTTTCAAGCTCCAGGCCACAGCTTTGGAGTGTGAGACTGTGGCACACATGGCTCCCCTCCAGGGCTTTGGCCAAACTCTTCCTTTAGCCCTGCTGTTGGTGCTGGCTCCCAGCCCCTGGGGTGCCTCAGGGTGCTTCCTCTCTGAGTTTTTGGGAGTCGACGATGCCCATGGCTGATCAGTGCCTAGCACCTATTGGGTTGCTGTGGAGTGAAGCAAGACCATACCCGTTCCTCGGTGGGGTGGCGGTGACTCCTCCTGACCGGGGAAACAGCTCTCTCGGGAGGTCTGTGAAAACATCAGCTCTGCCTCCTTCCTGCTCTGCACATGAACTCTTAACTCCTGCCCATTCATCTGGAGGGCTCCAGAGTTCAACCTCCAAGGGGGGAACTGAGTCTCACAGTGAGGCTAAATCTGCTCGTAGTCCACAGTCCACCTTGAGGAGAGTGCAGACCAGCAGCCAGAGCAAGAGACTCCTTAAATATCCAATCTGGCTGAGGGAGGAGGGAGGAAATAAAGACAAGCAGGAAGGAAATGGAAGGAAGCTGCAATGTTATCACCACGGTCTCAAGACCACGGCAGCTTCCAGACATGTTACCTGAGGTCCTTTCCACCCAGGCCTGTTTCTCCTCTAGGTGCCTCCTTCTAAGTCCCTGAGAGGCTTAAATATGTTCCCAAGCCCATACATTTGGGCTGCTTTTAATCAGACTTGCAAATCCACGAGTTCCAGGGACTCTTCCACTCTTACAGACGGGACTATAAATTGGGAAGCACACTGCATCTCACCCAGCTTGGCTGAGCCATGGACAAGCAGCTGCCCTTAGAAACAGACACCAAGAAGTGACAAACAACAACACAAATCCCAAGTCATCTCTCTTAGGGCACCAGGGAACACATAAATACCCCAGCCCCACCACTGACACCCTGAGACCACTTAGGTACCCCAGCCCTGCTCCAGTGATACCCTGAGGCCTGCCAGTTCACACTATCAACACCCCGAGACCACACGTGCATGCCGGAGACACCACAGTGTGCCTCACCACCAGGGCCCGGCACCTTCCTGAGTGTGGCCTTCTTTGATTCTGCCTAATAAACCTGTCTGGCTCTCACCTAGCAGTCGTAAAATTCTTTTGTGGAGAAGAGTCAGGAACCCAGCCCAGGGCACGCTGAGATCCCTGAGTCCACCCTGGGGGGATCTCCTCTGACCCCTTCTATGGCAGAATCATTCTCTTTGGAGTGGTCCCTGATTCCGCCCGGAATACGAATCTTTAGTGGGACTGGCCTGAGGTGAGAAGGACATCACCATCTTCCGATGAACACACGTTCAGCTGTCCC